CTTGCATTCCCTCCTCGTGTACTGTTTAATCATCGGCTTACAAATTAAAATAGATTCGTGGCATAAATTATTCAAATTAGCACAAAGCAACAGACGGTGCAACATACGTATCTGACAGTTATTTAATTACGATTTCCGCTCCAGAACTGCACATGCGCATTTTTAATATATATAGTTTTTAATTTTCACTATTTGGTTAACATTCAACATTCGGAGTTTATTGTAAATTTTGTAAGAAAGCAGTATTAAAAATAAATCTATATTACCAGTAAAAAATGTCTTAATGCAATAAATAAACGTGTGCCCTCTAGGAAGTCGTATATTTATAGCATACGAATTAGTTGGTAGATGTTTGGCTGAGAAAGTTTTCACTTGTATAAAACAGTATTATTGGAGTAGTGAAATACAATTAAATTAATTTGATTGACATTTATACTTTTAGTCTAGCTGAGATTTTGAGTTAAAACTCTTGCTTGCATGTACATAAAAAGTAATGAAATTAAAGCTAAACTATTTTTGTTTTTAAATGGGAGAATTATAAATTACATGACGAACGTAAAAAACCGACACATTCCGATATCCACTTGAAATCACATTTGACAGTGCATTATGTATGGAAAGTGAAAGTTGTCGTGTAATTCATGAATTCCAATGAGCTGTGTGGGAGTTCGCGTGGCCGGCTACAAGATACGTAGCCTAAGGCTCAACATATGTCAACCTGGTAGGCTCTTTAGCATTAACACGTTATGTACGATCAGTAAAACCATGACAGTAACACTATTTCAGCCCCCGCCATACTTGCATGTACAGATCATTATTGCACAGCTATGCCAAGCCGTTGTAATCTGTTGCGGTTAAGACTGGTTAGTCTTAAAAACCCTGAGGCAGACTATTTAGAGGGTGTTGAAATTATCAGTAATCCCCTGTGGAAAGGAAATCTATCAGATTAGTTTAGTTGTGAACAAAAGTTTTCATTGTTCCTTTGCATCAACTTGATGACAATTGTTAACAATCTGGTTTGATAAGGAATTCAAATAAATTTTACATACTACATACATATATATATATATATTTACAATTTCATTGCAAGTTCCTGTAACAGGGCGGAATGCTATCATCGGTGCCTACGACATGGTATTTCAGTGAGATAGCACTATAAAGTCGGCATCAGATCCGCGCAATTTGATCAGTGTCATTTTGAACCTTCAACCCCGGCCTCTAATAACGTTAGACAATCGCTAAAAGCAAACATGTTGGTGACGTTAGTCTTCTCCGGGAATATCGTCTATTCTAACGACATAGGAGCATCACTGTCGACCATATATAAGGGATGGGCTTATTGAAATCAATACTAACTATAACATTTAGAATGTAACTATATGTATTGAGCAGAATTTTTCAATGTTCATGGCGATATGAACATTGAAAAAGATGCCGTTCAGTCCTTATTTACATGTTTTGTATACAACACAATGGTGTTACCGTACCTACATATATACAAACTATACATCGCTTACTGTGTCCAAACTCTATACATTGTAATTCGGACACCGGTCAAGCCCATCTCATTCCAAGGGCGTAGCAAGCGAAAGCCGCATAGGGCTATTTGTTGTCCAAATAAATATCACAAGATTCAATTACACTGTTAAGGGCAAACATTTTTGTCCGGAGAAAATGAGATTGACCATTAATTGACTTTCTAAATTATCAGCTAGGCACGCCTTATTAACTCAATGGTCATTTCACGCCTAACCAGCCCAGGTGCGGACAAAGGCAGGTGTTTCACCTGTCGGTTTTGACAAAACCGAACAAGAAAACAAACAGGTATTAAATATCAACTTGCTATGTTGACCACTGCTGTTACAGATGTCCGGAGTGAGGTTTGACCCTCTCTGAGATATATTCCCGCTGGTCATTTGACTAAAATTTGACCAACACGGGACCGCGAGTATTGTCCGATCTAATGAATAGCTTCTAATCTAATTTTGTGCTGAATAAATGGTAAAACAGTCCCGGACCGACATTCCGGACAACGATGACCGTAATAACAGGTTGTGCGTCGGTTGGTTTCAAAACTGTTCAAAGCTTTGTTGCAGGGCAGATGGTGCGCTTTACACCTAAGGAACAATATACCGATAAATCTTCGTATTCGTAGAGAAGCTTGTCTCAAACGACTTTCAAAAAAAGTAAGAAAAAGGGATTCTTTATTTTCTGTAACACTGGGAATGTATATTAAAATTTGAAAAAATGCATGATTTGGCCAAACCGGAAATCTGTTGTAATGTTCTTCAAGGATCATCTACTGGCGAAGTACGGATCCTTCCTATTTATCAACCAATGTCCTTCCGAAACGTCAATGAACTCTCGCTACATTAACTTATACCAACTCAACATGACATACTATACTCAAATAGATGTAAATATTTGGAAGGTTTTTAACCGTGATGATACCTCTCTTGGTATGGTAGAAACTCATTCATTGTACAATGGCATTGTTGCCTTTTAAATGTCTGTTTACATTGATTTTACGAAATGATTTACAAGAATGCATGACCTCAGGCCCAAACAGGGACACGCACCGGTACAGCAGTCTCACGAGTAGGCCAAGCTTAACACGAGTTAAAGCATCGAGTCGACATAACGAGAGATCGTATAAAGACGCACCAGCTACCTTGATAACTTACATTTGTATCAACAAAATCACTTTCTGTTTCTGTATTAAATTTTAAATGAAATCTGAACTTTTAAGAAATAAACGGTAACCCATCAGGTCTTTGGATGGGAATTTCATTTAAATGTGAGTCTACAAGTGTCCTGTATAGGGAGTACTCAGGTAGTGTGTGTGAGTCTACAAGTGTCCTGTATAGGGAATTCTGAGTTAGTGTGAGTCGTAAGCGTCTTGTAAATTGAATCCTGAGTTAGTACTTCTGTATTGGGGAATGTGAGTCAGCGTAAGTCTGTAGGCGTCATTATAGAGAATTCTGTTAGCGTCAGTATGAAAGTGTCTTGTATGGAGACTTATGAGTTTCCTTGAGTCTGTAAGCATTCTATATAACGACATCCTCGATATCCAGGGGTTACGCTCACTTTCGCTCTAGTGAGCGTAATCCCTGGATATCGCGGATGATATAAGGAATTCTTAGTTAGTTTGACTCTGTGACGTCGAGTAGGGGATCTTTTCAGTTACCTTTTAAGTGAGTGTCTGAAAACGTCTGGTACAGCCGAGTGTTAACATTCTTTGCTGTGGGTCAAGAATGGAAATTATGGGGTGGAGGGAGGTCACGAAAATTACCTGTCGACCTTAGGGCCCACTCTGTAATTACATGTGTTCTCGTGAGCAGGTAAATGGCATTTTGATGAATATCCAGGTAAACCTCTCCTCCCCCTCGGTATAATAGGGAGCACAGATCTTCTGTGACCATTATAGCTGAGTTTCTGTGATACACTGTCTTGCTATAAGATGTTAAAAAGTCTTAATGAACCTTTTTGCTCGATATCAGTTATAAACTGATAAAAAATGATGGAATATCGACAATGCTTGTTATCTTATTGTTTTTAAACCTTGAAAAATTTAAGAATACATATTATAATCTCAACATATCTATATTTCGGCAAACTCAAAATTCATCGCGCGTTCTCGTACAGAAGTGGACAACATGATGTCATGACGTCATAACTTCATTTTACGAGAACGAGACTACAATTTATATTTATTGGCTGATATATCAAATATGGAAGTTTTATTCCGATACAAATTAACTGTGTTTCCCTTTTTTCGTTTATCTATTTGGCCAAGAAGTTATTTTTAGATACCATTCTGACACGGTACATTATAAGAACTTCATACCAGCATTTGATAAAATAAACTCGCACCTTGTTTTCGTATTTGCTTAATTAATGAAATTGGAACTGGGTTACATACGAATCATCAGCAAACAATATTCCTAAACTGATTTAAATGAAAAAAGGTGAAGCTGCCAAACCGAAGTGTCATAACTTCAGATGTTATCAAATATGATTAGGTCACGTACGGGCTACCATACATAGATAGTGTAACTCAGTTGGTATGTTTGGATTAATTCTGAGGATTTTGAATCATCTCTCGATGATACAATTTAATTCTCGCACAAAGTATCATTTGGGGTGGGGAAGAGGGAGGGCGGGGCCACGTCTAATATTACTCTCCGCACACAACAATTGGTCCAAACATACTAACAGAAACAAATTCCCTGTCCTTGTTGAATATAACGGAGCTCGATGATTTTTTGTTTCGTTACAGGTGTCCGTTAGTAAGTTATGGTGACAAATATGATAATATTCACACAAAAACCTTTATATCAAAACCGACATGACATTTGATTGATACCTTCCCTAGGTACGGCATATTGAAGTACAAATCAAACGCCGAAATGAAATTTAAGGCACGATTTTAGGCAAACAAAATATCACACATTTTTATACATGTATGATATACATATATATATATATGATGACAGGTAAAGACACACGACTAAGCAAGTGTGGCCATCAATAATGATGATCCATTTTTTTTATTTCACGTCATCAGGTTAATATCAATAAATCATAACTGTCATGTTTTTGTCTATTTTTTAATAATAATTAATAAGTTGAATAATCGAAATATTTCACATATTTTATAAATATGATCGGACATTTTACGGTTGTAATACATAGAAAGTAAAAAGAGAAAACGAGTAAACTAACAACGCTAACCACATCGCACCTGTTTCATTTCATGTTTGTAAACTGATTACTTTGCAAATTGTAGCAATGACTTGCAGATTTAAAAATAAATAAAAGAAAGATAGATATTTGAAAGGTAGATTTCATTATAGCTACCTGTTATGTTGTTTGGCGTTTATAGACAATCACCTCCCCACAAGCTCGCTGTTTTACGTTGACGACGACATGGTCCATTATGGTCATCCCATAATTACTATCAACATCAATATTTTCATCGGATTTTTGTTATGTTTCAGGCAGTATACAGAAGTGTGAAAACGAAGGCGAGGCTGTGTTCGTACCACAGATATCAGACAATCCGTGTATCACGTGTTTTTGTCGGGTAAGTCTATTTTTAACATTTCACTTGGTTCGCTCACTATTACATTGCACGACTACTTTTACCGAAAGTTGGCGTGTTTCATCTGCTGGATAACCGAGCTATCAATCAACCAAATCAATCAATTAATCAATCAATCAATCAATCAATCAATCAATCAATCAATCAATCAATCAATCAATCAATCAATCAATCAATCAATCGCGCAATCAATTAATCAAGCAAGCAAACAAGTGTTTCATTACTATGCTACGTACTTAAGTCGTATCTCCGACCAAAACGTCGTTCCGTTAATACGTCACTTAAACAAATAAGACATAAATTCAACGAATCACCTCGTCTCGAATGCTGCCCAGTCCCCGTGAATTTTTTGTGTCGATAGCAGATAAATTTCTCTGTTGGTCCTGCCCGGCCTTCCAGATATCCCCTAGGCTAACGCCCCCATGTAAAGATTTTTTCCAAAAAACAGAAACTAACAGTGTACGGGTATACCGGTGTGTGTACCGTGCACGTGGTCTCGCTGAATCAATCAATCAATCAATCAAACAAATATTTCATCACTATGCTACGTACTTAAGTCGTATTCACGGTATCCAAACTTATCCCACCTCTACTCGAACGCACCTTGATGACGTGACTATTCAAGTTTGCAGAATATATCTTTAAAGTATGGTCCAGAAATATACTTGTAGGAGAAAATATACAACCAAGAATGTTGTCGTTGTTCGTGACCTCTCCCTGCATTTATGAGCTCTCCCCGCGCCCTACGTTTGTGAGCGCTCTCTATACCTGCGAGCTCTCCCACGCCCTACGTTTGTGAGCGCTCTCTAGACCTGGGAGCTCTCCCACGCCCTACGTTTCTGAGCGCTCTCTATACCTGGGAGCTCTCCCACTCCCTACGTTTGTGAGCGCTCTCTATACCTGCGAGCTCTCCCACGCCCTACGTTTGTGAGCCCTCTCTATACCTGGGAGCTCTCCCCGCGCCCTACGTTTGTGAGCGCTCTCTTTACCTGGGAGCTCTCCCCGCGCCCTACGTTTATGAGCGCTCTCTATACCTGGGAGCTCTCCCACTCCCTACGTTTGTGAGCGCTCTCTATACCTGCGAGCTCTCCCACGCCCTACGTTTGTGAGCGCTCTCTAGACCTGGGAGCTCTCCCACGCCCTACGTTTGGGAGCGCTCTCTATACCTGGGAGCTCTCCCCACGCCCTACGTTTGTGAGCGCCCTCTATACCTGGGAGCTCTCCCACGCCATACGTTTGTTAGGGCTCTCTATACCTGTGAGCTCTCCCACGCCCCACGTTTGTGAGCGCTCTCTATACCTGGGAGCTCTCCCCCCGCCCTACGTTTGTGAGCGCTCTCTATACCTGGTAGCTCTCCCCGCGCCCTACGTTTGTGAGCGCTCTCCATACCTGGGAGCTCTCCCACGCCCTACGTTTCTGAGCGCTCTCTATACCTGGGAGCTCTCCCACCCCCTTCGTTTGTGAGCGCTCTCTATTCCTGGGAGCTCTCCCCACGCCCTACGTTTGTGAGCGCCCTCTATACCTGGGAGCTCTCCCACGCCATACGTTTGTTAGGGCTCTCTATACCTGTGAGCTCTCCCACGCCCCACGTTTGTGAGCGCTCTCTATACCTGGGAGGTCTCCCACGCCCTACGTTTGTGAGCGCTCTCTAGACCTGGGAGCTCTCCCACGCCCTACGTTTCTGAGCGCTCTCTATACCTGGGAGCTCTCCCCATGCCCTACGTTTGTGAGCGCTCTCTATACCTGTGAGCTCTCCCGCGCCCTACGTTTGTGAGCGCTCTCTCTACCTGGGAGCTCTCCCCGCGCCCTACGTTTGTGCGCGCTCTCTATACCTGGGAGCTCTCCCACTCCCTACGTTTGTGAGCGCTCTCTATACCTGGAGCTCTCCCACGCCATACGTTTGTTAGCGCTCTCTATACCTGTGAGCTCTCCCACGCCCTTCGTTTGTGAGCGCTCTCTATACCTGGGAGCTTTCCCACGCCCTACGTTTGTGAGCGCTCTCTATCCCTGGGAGGTCTCCCACGCCATACGTTTGTTAGCGCTCTCTATACCTGGGAGCTCTCCCACTCCCTACGTTTGTGAGCGCTCTCTATACCTGTGAGCTCTCCCACGCCCTTCGTTTGTGAGCGCTCTCTATACCTGGGAGGTCTCCCCACGCCCTACGTTTGTGAGCGCTCTCTATACCTGGGAGCTCTCCCACGCCATACGTTTGTTAGCGCTCTCTATACCTGTGAGCTCTCCCACGCCCTACGTTTGTGAGCGCTCTCTATACCTGGGAGCTCTCCCCACGCCCTACGTTTGTGAGCGCTCTCTATACCTGTGAGCTCTCCCACGCCCTATGTTTATGAGCGCTCTCTATACCTGGGAGCTCTCTCCACGCCCTACGTTTGTGAGCGCTCTCTATATCTGGGAGCTCTCCTCACGCCCTACGTTTGTGAGCACTCTCTATACCTGGGAGCTCTCCCCGCGCCCTACGTTTGTGAGCGCTCTCTATATCTGGGAGCTCTCCCCGCGCCCTACGTTTGTGAGCGCTCTCTATACCTGTGAGTTCTCCCCGCGCCCTACGTTTGTGAGCGCTCTCTATACCTGGGAGCCCTACCAACACTTAGGAGCCCTTTCTGAACTTTTGAGCCTCTTTATGTGTGGACTCTCCCATAGTTCTCTCTTTAATTTGGGAACCCTCTTACTCGTGAGCTAGGCTTGCTATGCATATGAGCGCAATTTACGTGTACATGCAAGCTCGTTCTACTATGAGCCCTGTCTCTGTCTGTCTCTATCTATATTGGTGATATCCGAGACGGCTAACATTGTCTTGATTTACTAGAAACGTTGCCATGACTTCGACTCCAGTTCAGATGACAAAAGAAACAGATGCGCGATACAGGCCCGGCAGGCCTTATTATGTGAAGAATAGTTCTAAGGGCAAAACAAGTGCGTCCGAAGTTAATTTAAACACATTTATTGCCAAAAGTACACAATGGATTAGCCATAAGTTATTACAACTTATCAACTCATCGCGCCCGAAATATAGATAGGCACAAAAAATAGGGCCAGATTTTCACTGGATACTTTAAATTTAAAGTAAACTTAGTCTTAAGTAAAAACAAACAACAATTGACATTTTTTGAATGAGAAAATAATCGAATTTATTATCCATTTATATACATACTCAGACACACAACTTGAACAAACTGTCTTTTAATCAGCGCATAATGTTCTCTTATTTTACTATACCAATAAAGGGACGGGTTGTAAACGCTCGTCAATGTTGATAAAAACCTTCCCTCTCTTTACACAATCTATAAATTCATTTTCTTCTTATAAATTTATAAACTTATCAGATCGCTTGCCGACTGTTTATTGAGCCACGAGACTGGATCTATCTGCCCCTAGCTGTAATAAAACACAGACCCCGTCTAACGATCGTCGCTTTCACCTGAGAACGTACAGAAAAGTCTAGTTATCTTAAAAAAAGTTTAAAGTATATCAAAAATTCGGATGAAATTTAAAATGCCATGCTATGTCCATGCTTGTTGAATCTTACTGGTGATTTTGAAAGGCGGGACGATTGCTCCATAACATCGATTTTCTGTCGTATTGTGTAAGGGGGGAGTATTTGTCATACCTTCCCATGTTTTATGATATGTTTAATTTGAAATTGTTGTTTTATTCACGTCTGTGTCTACAGTCTGTGCCTACAGTTGCAAAAGTACAGTTCAACTTCCCAGGTTTTATAAAAATTTAGTTGAAAGAAATATGATTATTATTGTTTTAAAGACTTTTATGTGTACGGGTAAAAGCACAAGAGTGTACAATTCTACCTTACATACTACACATTATTATTCAGCTAAACAGGTCCACGGGGCCTGTACGCACGCTGTACATTCAATATCTTATAAATATGTTTTCCACTGAAAAATATCAGCGAAACATGAGCGATCACTCCATAAAAGTCCGGTCCATCTTGTGCTTACTTCCAAGAAAAGGGTGTTGCGTTTTATAACTAGGTAGACCAGCAAAGTAGACCAGTTCAATCGGTATCAAACTACCTAAGGTCAAATTTAAATGAGTGATATTTTCTTTTTGTTAAAACAGAAATAAGTACTGGAATAAAAAAAATATCATCTTCACAAAAAAAATAAGAATTGAATATATTGCGTGTATTTACTGTGTCACTGGGCTAATGACACGTGGTCCCGGAGATATTGTTCATAAAGACATTTTTAGATGTTGATCTGATAACGAAGTTTCCCAAACGTGCAATGTGTTGTTTTTATTACAAAACTCGCGCGTTATGGCATATGTTTAAACAAAACTATCGTACCTATTACAGCGATATGATTCAATTATCAAGTAACAATTGTAATTTCCGTTGTAAACGCTGGAGATAAAAGTACCAACTCAAACTGTTCCTTTGATTGCATACTGTGAAGTAAACAATAATACAGTGAGGTTCTAAACGAACAAATAGTATTCGGTCAAATCGGATTTTTTTATTTTTAAGGACGTATTTTGTCTGCCACTTTGTTACAGCTATATTTGGACCTTAACTAAGGTATTCAGAGTAATTTAACATGTTTTAGGGGTTTATATCGACTTTCCTAAAATGACACCCCTGATGGTATACCCCTTAAACATGTAACATTACTCTTAACACCTTCGTTTAGGTCCAAATATAGCTGTAACAAGTTACCAGGCCCCTGTGGTGCCTGCGTGCCTGTGTGCTGGAGGAAGGATTATATTGGTGTGATTGATATAATTTTAATGTACAATAGAAAAGCAACAGAAAATAATATTAAGTAATTAAAGGAATGCGTTTATTTGCTTTTCAACGAAACAAAAACCGGACAATTTTAACAAAATGACGGTTTTTCAATAAACATTTTTGTAAACAGATTTTGAAAATTACGGGAGTCAATTTTGACATGGAAATTTACAACACTTCAAGGAAGAGCTTTTGTTCTCAGACATCAAACAGATAC